GCCGGTTCACCACTGGCCACCAAGGCTTACCTCTGACAAGAGACTTTGAAATCCAGAGTCAATCGGCTATCGTACCCTCAACTTACCTATTCATTACAATTAAGCCCTAGCTTAGCTAAAATTACAAAACTCAAGAGCCCAATTCATTTAGCCAATCGGCACCCACCCCACCACCTACGTAATGCCTTGGGCTCCAACTTAGTAATAATAATATAAAACTTAAACCCTATATCCATTAATGAGTATGTGTTACAACGTAGCCTTAACTTACCTATTCATTACATTACGGTCCTAGCTTACCTAAAATTACATAACTCAAGAGCCCAATTCATTTAGCCAATCGGCGCCCACCCCACCACCTACGTAATGCCTTGGGCTCCAACATAATAATAATAATATAAAACTTATAATAGCCTACCTATCGATACACTTACAGCGTTTTAATTTACATTACAAGATTTTTCCTAGAATTACATTATTGCCCTTAACTACCTATGAAATTAAATTACTCTCAACCTTAGTAATAATAAATTAGAATGTGTAATGAAAATAAAATTACGCTCAAATACTAACATATGTGTTTATGTATGTATTTGTGTGTGTATGTAATACGCTGATGCGTGTAATGCGGATGCAAGAAAAAATAGAAGCGATAAACTTATGCTGCCTACCTATTCAACTACATTAGTGTTGGATGCTTCTTATCTATCCTACCTACAGTTAAAATTATGCCTATCTAACCTACCTATATAGCTACATAATGTAATTGTGTGTGTGTGTGTGTGTGTGCGTGTGAGCATTCTTACTTAATGTTAAATTACAAAGAAAAACAGAGAAAAAAGAATAAAACGTATCCCAGCCAGGCGTGTATTCTTTGCCACTGAATGAATGAACGTAGCCTGACATCTTCCATGATGAGCTCCTCTGGAAGCTTCAACCTGAATGAAATGAATAAAATGAAAAAATCATATTTATTTAATCAATTTAAAAGAAAATAGAAAAACGAGCCGCGGTGAAACCCGCCAGCCGGAAAAGCCAGCCAACTGGCAAAAAAAGAACCGCAAAGAAACCGTAAAACGAACCCCAGCCAGGCGTGCATTCTTTGCCACTGAATGAATGAACGTAGGGTGACATCACAACCATTCTGATCATCCACGATGAACTCCTCTGGAAGCTTCAACCTGAATGAATGAACCTGAATGAACCTAAATAAATGGAAAAATCTTATTTATTTAATTAATTTAAATGAAAATAGAAAAAAGCAAAGAAGCCGACCGGTCGGCAAAGAAAAAACCTCAAAGAAAGGTATCTATATAGGATTTATGCTCTATATAACTCTATATAACTCTATATAACTCTATATAACTCTATATAACTCTATATAACTCTATATAACTCTATATAACTCTATATAACTCTATATAACTCTATATAACTCTATATAACTCTATATAACTCTATATAACTCTATATAACTCTATATAACTCTATATAACTCTATATAACTCTATATAACTCTATATAACTCTATATAACTCTATATAACTCTATATAACTCTATATAACTCTATATAACTCTATATAACTCTATATAACTCTATATAACTCTATATAACTCTATATAACTCTATATAACTCTATATAACTCTATATAACTCTATATAACTCT